GCGGCGCCACCCGGGCCCCAACCCTCTCGACCCGCAGAACCCCAGCCCGGACGCCTACTGCAACCTCGTGATCCTGGCTGTGGCCAACAGGGTGAGCTTGAGGGCATCTCGGGCTCTTACGCTCTGCCTCCCCCGCCTGTCGAGAGGGTGGGAAGGTGCCGCTCCTCACCCCCCACCCTGCCCCATTTAAGAGGTTCCTGGGGTCTACCCTGGCCTCCTTCCTTCTCCCTCCTTCGGCCCTACCTAGCACTTCAGGTACTAACCTGTGTGCCCATGACGCCAAAAGGCTTCTAAACTGAAGCCCCGGATCCCTCTAGGACACTTCCCCCTTGCTGTCCCAATGGGATGAAAATTCAAACTGGCCAAAACAAACTTGATGTATATAACCCCTGCTCCTTCTCCAATTTTGTCAGTATCCGCACTATCACAGGAACAATCATGAGGACACTAATCACCAGCATGAACTGAGTGCCAGCAGATGCCAGACACAGAACCAGCACTAACTTATTTCATTCTCACAGGAGCCCATAGAGGAAAATAGTACAACCGTCCCCATTCTATAGAGAAGGAAACCACGACCCAGAGGCTAAGTAACTTGTGCAAGGTCACACAGGAAGCAGGTGATGATTTCAACACTGGGACCCAAGAAGTTCAGACCCTGTATTCTTGGTGACTGTCAGTCACCCAAGGCAGAAAAGCCTTTCTGCCATTCTTGCCTTGCCTACCCTCCTTCCCCACCCTCCACATTCACCCTTGCTTTTATTCATTTCGCTATGTTTATTGAGCGCCAATTTGTGCTGGGCATTGGGCTGTGGATGCATTGAGATATATCCATAGGTGCTGTGGATACAGAGATGAAAGACATATTTGGTGTCCTTTCTTAGGGAGCTCACAGTCTAGCAGACATCTTCAAGCCTGGAGCCTTCTAAGCTTTTCCTCTCACCCAGGGAGCCCCGACTCCCTCTGTATATAAACTATGGTGAACAAAACAGACATGATGCCTGTCCAGAGGGAGAGATGATAATAACCAGTTAACTCGGTCTCCAGAGCTGACTCACTTTCCCTTGAAACACTTTCTCACTTGGCTTCCCGCTCCCCACATTCTCCTAGTTTTCCTCCATGGGGTGAGGGGAGACTGCCTTACCCCCAGCCAGGGACAGGCATTGGTCTGGCTCAGCTTCTCATACCTCAGATGTTCTGTTTGCAATAAATGCCCAATAGCCAAAACAAAAACAAAACAAAACAACAACAACAACATAAAACCAGCTGGAGTTGGTTCCTTCTCTTCTCTCCAGTCTTTAAAGTTTGGAGTGCTCCAGGCTTAGTCTTTGATTCTCTTTTTTCCCTTTACACTCATTTCTAGGTGATCTCCTCTAATCTCAGAGCATTTAAAACACTGAGAATTTCCCAAAGCTTATTTCTCACCAAATCTCCAGATATGTTTCTCCACTCAAAGGTCTAACTAATGACCTTCTTAAACGTAACACATGAAAAGCTGAGCTCTCAATCTTCTCCCTCAAACTGCTCCTCCCTTGGTCTTCCTGTCTTGATTAATGGCAGCTCTGTCCTTCTGTTGCTCATACCAAAACGTTGCAGTGATCCTCGGCTCCCCTCTTTCACACACCCATGTCCACCTCATCAACAAATCCTCTTAGCCCTGTTTTTAAAATATAACCAAAACCCATCTGCTCCTCCCCACCCAGTGTCCCCACCCATGCCCATGCCCCATCTTCTATCATCTGAGTCATGCAGTCACCCCTCACTGGTTCGGCCCATGCTTACAATCTGTTCCCCCACACAGTCAGAGCAGTTCTGTTGACACTTAAGTCACATAGTGTCACTGCTCAAAATCTTTCAATGGTTCCCCATTTCAGAGTAAAAGCTAATATCCTTACAACTGCTTATAAGGCCATCCACTTTATAGTAGCGGCTCCAGCCACCATCCCCATTCCCTCTCTGGCCTCATCTCTTTCTAGTTTCCCCCTTTATTCACTCCACTCCAGCCAGACTGGTCTCCCTGTAGAGTGCAAGAGACCTGTGGGTTCCGGGTGATTCGCTGTGCTATCTCTGGCTCCTAGAACAGTGCCTGGCACATAATACGTACTCAATAAATACTGAATAAATGGATCAATTAAATCATATTATTATACCTTGTGACGGGACCAAGAAGAAACCAAGCAGGTTGCAGTGATAATTAGGGGGGAGATCCATTTTCCATAAGGAAGGTAAATTTGTACCTTGTTTATCCCACTCGACTGTGAAGACTTTAGGGTACAGACCTTATCTAATTCATCTCTGAGACCCCAGAGCCTGGCCCAGTACCTGGCACATAATAGGACTAAATGAGAAATTGTGGAATAAATAAATAAATAAATGAAGAGTTGTTTTCCGGGAATATCTTAGCCTCTGGCCTTCCATTTGAAACATTGTGATCCCAAGGAGAGTACAGGATTTGGAGTCCAAAAACCTGGGTGCCAATATTCACTAATGCCACAAGCCTGCTATATGAGCCTAGGGAAGCCATTTAACCACTCTAAGCCTCAGTGTCTTTTTATATAAAATAAGGATCCTGTCTTCCCTGTCCATTTTGTAGGGTTATTATAAGGTTCAGTCCTGGTTTAATGATTAGTACACTCCCACATCCCAAAATGCCTATCCAAGGTTACATTTTAATTCATACCCTAGGCTTTTTTTAGAGGCACAAAATAGTAAATGCCTTCATGGAGATGGTCTCTTCATCAGTTATGGTCTTTCTGCATCTCTGGCTTGAAGACATAAAGAGGTCAATTAAAGAGGCAAATTCTTTTTCAGATTTGCAATCTCCAAAAAGTTTTACCTAGGAACTTAAATTTCTTACTTCTATCAGAGACTGACCTGCTTCCATTTTTGCCCTGGGTACCAAGAAGCTCATACCTAAATGTGGCATCTAGTGGTGGTAATTACGTTGAGCCTAAAATTTCCATACATTTAATTCTTCCTCTTCCTAGTAGGTATTAGGAGACCTGGGTTCTCATTCTGGCTAATCGCTTTACCTCTCTCTGTCTCAGCTTCCTACCTGTAAATTAAAATAAATTAGAGTTTTAGATAAGCTTCAGGAGGGCCCATGAATCCTCTAGAAATTAGGGGTACATGCATGCATTTTTCAGGACAGAAGGGTTAGAATTATCACTGGATTCTATAAAGGGATCCAAGACACAGAGAGCAGCCATATAATTTTTATGGAAAATATCCTCAGTCAATTTAAAGGTGTGTGTGTGTGTGTGTGTGTGTGTGCACATGTGTGCCTTTGTGAGCCCCCTCACACTGTGTTTTAGGAAGCAGGGGTATCTTGGTCACTGGAGAGGTCCTGAGCTCTATCCTCCTCCCTGGGCCAGGATGCTGCCGAGGAGTCCTGCGCCCTCATCTGTCAGGTCTTCCAGGGGAAAATATCCTCAGTCAATTTAAAGGGGTGTGTGTGTGTGTGTGTGTGAGCACACATGTGTGCCTTTGTGAGCCCCCTCACACTGTGTTTTAGGAAGCAGGGGTATCTTGGTCACTGGAGAGGTCCTGAGCTCTATCCTCCTCCCTGGGCCAGGATGCTGCCGAGGAGTCCTGCGCCCTCATCTGTCAGGTCTTCCAGATCATCTATGGGGACCAGAGTATTGAGTGTGTGGACCGGGCCGGCTACCACTACACATCCACGCCCGAACGGCCATGGCTCTGCAGCCGCAGTGAGTACTCGAACTCCTGGCCTCCCCTCCTGTGAAACATTCCAAAAGGCCAGGGAAGGGGGATGCCCCAGGACTTAGGGCCAATGAAAGCCTTCAGGGGTCCGATCTCTACTGCAATTACAGTGTACCCTTATATGGAGTTAAAATAAAAATATCAGTTTTCATGATGACCTCAAACCTAGCTTCTTCATAGATGTTCCAGCTGTCAGATTCAGATGAGTCCCTCCAAGCTGAACTTTTCTCTCTCTTTTGTTTTTCTGTGTCCCTGCTTTTGCAGAAACCTAAGCACATGCATTGTCGGTTTACTGAACTGGCTAGCCCCACTAGGGCAATAGATCAAAACCAGGACTTCCGGACCAGTCCTTGAATGTAATCAAGGGCTAAAATGAGAAGAAACATTTACCGAGCATCAGCTGTGTGCCAAGCACAGTAACAGTATGCCAAGTCTTATTTAACCCTTATAGCGACCTTGTCTGTCCTGTTTGCCACTGTATCAAGTGTGCCTAGCACGGGACCAGGGACATCATAGATGCTCAAGAAATATTTTTCAAATGGGTAAAAGAATTCTCTGAAGACTTATGATTCCAGTTTTACAGATGAGGACATTAAGGCTCAAAGTAGTCAATAAATTGCTCAAGTTCACACAGCTAGTAAATGGGAGAGTCAGGATTCAAACCCAGGTGTGTCTGATTCTAAAGTTTCTTTCTGCAACAGCTTCACCCCCCATGCTGCCTTCAAGGCTACTAAGTAAGTATTCTCAGTCATAGTCACCTCAACATGGTCCCTGTTTGCATAGTTCTAGCAGTAAGGAGCTGGGATAGTTCAGCTGTCACAGGGATGATAGGCAAGTAAATAAGAGAATTCAAAAAATATTTCAAGAAAACTCATTCATTCAATATATACATATTGAGGAGGTACTGTGTGTTGGACCCTGCTAATCACCAGGCTGTACTGGTGAGAAAAACCAGATGTGGCCCTGCCCTCATGAGGCTTGCATTGCTGAGGAAGGCTGACAGTAATTAAACAGTTACACAGATACAATGCAACCACACGCTCTGTGCTATGAGAACATATAATGAGGAACCAACCTCCCTTGGGAAGTCGGGAGTATCCTGAGGAAGTGACACTGAGTGAGCCAAGATCACTAGAAGGTGAGGCTGCTACCTGGATTCAGTGAGATACCAGGGCAAAGTACAGAGCATGCTCTCTGTAAACGGTGCTTCTTTCCTCTCAAGATTTTGTGTTCCTTCCCTCTCAAAGTTCATTTTTTGTCTCACCTCAAACACATACAGTTTACAAAATTCTCCCTCACCTATTCCCTCATCTACTATACTCAAGACCTCCATGAGGTAGGCAGGAAGGTGACATTGTCCCGATGTTGGAGAAGTTGAAGGCCAAGAGATGGGAGGTGAGTTGCCCAAGGTTGGCTGTGTGTCAATGAGTGGCAGGGGCAGGAATCATGGTCAGAACCTTCCATTAACTGCCCATTTCGCTCAGTAAAAGCTAACGTCCTTACGATCACTTACAAGGCCATCTGTGCTCCAGCCACCATCCAACTCCAGGGCTGAGATCAGGGCCTCAGAAGCCAGGGATGCTGCCTGCTGCTTTGCCACCTCTAACAGCCCCTCTGTCTGCTGGTCCCAGGTGACAGCTGCCGAACCGATGGGACTTATGCCTATGATGCCGACTTCAGCTGCTGCAGCTCCTTGTGAGTATCACCCTTGTTGGGGACCCCACTCTTGCCCTCCCCACCCATGAGGCCACTGTGGCTGTGGCAAAGGGCGTGAGGGAGAAAGTGGTCAGAGAGGAGGTTTGGTGGGGAGCTCTGGAAAGTCCTTGCATGTCATGAGCAGACTTAAAGACTTTGTGACCACATTTGACAGAGGGTCTAACCCAGTCTGGGGAGATCAGGGAAATTTTTTCTGAGAAGGTGACATTTAAGATCTAATGATGAATAATAATTAGCTGAGCAAAAGATAGTGGGAGAGAGATGTTCTAGGCCGAGTGAAGAGCATGTGCAAAGGCCCAGAGGTGAAGAGATACTTGGAGAATTAGAGGAAAAGAGAGAAGACAGGCTGGAGCACAGAGCAAGGGTGAGAAGAGGCTTGAGAGGCAGCCAGGGGCCAGATAATGTGGGGCCTTGAAGAAGAAATTAGGACCTGGGATGAGGCCTCAGGCCCAGACCGCTGGTAGCTGTGCCCTCCCACCTTCCACCTGCAGCAGGAGAGGAAGTGGAAGGAGGGCCCCTTTCTGCCTGTCTCTGCAGTAATGGCTCCCAGGACACATTTGAAGCGTGTTACAGCGGCACATCTACACCCTCTTTCCATGGCTCCCACTGCAGCGGCAGCGACCACAGTGGCCTGGGCCTAGAGCAGTTGCAGGATTACATGGTCACGGTGAGCTGGGGCACCAGTGCAAACGGCACAAGCAAAGGCCTGGAGGCTGAAGAAAACATAGAGTATTTCAGGAATCATGAATAATCCTAAGCATGATTGAAGCATAAGACCCCAGAGGTGAGGGTGGGACATGAGGTTAGAAGAGTAAACTGAGGCCAGCCTGTTGAAAGACCTAAACTAATGTCAGCTAGCATTTCCAGAGGAGGGCTGGGCCATATATGTTCTCAGTGAGGGCTCTGGGAGTTTTAGGCAGGGCTTGGGCGGGGGTTACTTCCTGGGATTGATCTCAAATTGTGCCCCACAGTTGCGGAGTAAGCTGGGGCCCCCTGAGATCCAGCAGTTTGCAGTGCTGCTACGGGAGTATCGGCTAGGGCTGCCCATTCAGGACTATTGCTCAGGCCTGCTGAAGCTCTATGGGGACCGGCGCAAGTTCCTCCTCCTTGGTGAGCCCCCTGCCCCACCCCACAAGGGTCAGCCAAGATCCCTTCATGGTCCGTGACATTCCTGGTCAGACACCAGGCTGGAGTGTTATTCCTTACCCTTCAGCTTCCGATAAGGCCAAGATCATGAGTTCCATGGAACATATGAGGAGACTGAGGTTTAAAGAGGGGAAGGACTTGCCTGCAGTTGCAAGTCAATAACAGAGCAGTAGTATAGCCATTTCATCTTCACAGCAAAGCTGGGAGAGGGACTGATTCTTTTCATCTCATCCCATGAGGAAGCTGAGGTTCAGAGAGGCTAAAGAACTTGTTCAAGATCACACAACTAGTAAGGGGAGCTAATAAAAACAACAGGAATAATAGTAATAAGCTAACATATATTTGGCAGTTACAGTGTGTGCCAAGCATCATCTCATTGAATGTCCTCAGTTTTAGGAAGTAGAAACTATTATTTGCCCCCATTTTGCAGATTAGGGAACTGAAGCTCAGGAGGCTCAGAGAAACGAAGTAAAATACTGAAGTCACAGCTAGTATGTAGAGATAGAAGAAAAACCAGCAACTTTTATGGGAGATCCTCACCTTCCTATGGGGAGAAGTACAATTATCTCATTTTTACAAGGGAGGAAAATAAGGCTCATGGTAGTTATTTAATGAGGGTGACAGCTAATAATGGGAATGTGACAATTGTAATAATAATAAGCTAATATGTAGTGAGCATGTACTATGTGCCTAGCATTATGTCCTTGTTCCCTGGCTCAGAGAATCAAAGAATTGTGCTAGGCCACACAGCCAGTGATTGGTGGGGCTGGAATGTGAACTCTCCAGCGAAGGTGATGCCTCTGTGGGAGGGGAAGGGCCTGAATGAACTCCGAGGAGTCACCTGGCCCCCGGCCCGCAGGAATGAGGCCCTTCATCCCGGACCAGGACATTGGCTACTTCGAGGGCTTCCTGGAGGGCGTGGGCATCCGCGAGGGCGGCATCCTGACTGACAGCTTCGGCCGCATCAAGCGCAGCATGAGCTCCACGTCGGCGTCGGCCGTGCGCAGCTACGACGGCGCGGCTCAGCGGCCCGAGGCGCAGGCCTTCCACCGGCTGCTTGCCGACATCACGCACGACATCGAGGCATTGGCCCCCGACGACGACGACAGCACCGGCGAAGATGACCTGGACTCCCCGAGCGGGGGCGAAGCGGCTGAAGACAACTACCTGTAGCCTGTAGCCGCAGGCCCAGGCTGAGAGCAGGGAAGGCATGGCCCCGCAACTCCGCCTCTGCGTGTCAGTCACTCTTGCCTGGGGGCTCCAACCCCAATGCCCTTTCTCACACCCAGGGCACAAGGACCCTGCCCTCTGGGATCCAGTCTATGCAGTATCGAGAATGCCCTGTAGGGGGCGAGATCCTAAAGTCCTGGGCAGCAGAGGAGAGCCTGCGTCCTCTTTTGTCCCACTAGCCCGGAGGCTCGGCCGCCGGATACACCCTTCTCCCCTGACTCCGCAGCTTTCTGGAGGCCTAGGGGAGGAATGATGAGTGGGTGCCACCTGCTGGCTGACTGAGAAAAGTATTTCTAGAGCCCAAAGATAGCCCAGAGATCTCTATTCCTCCTACTCTGTAGATTGAGAAACAGAGGTTTAACAGAGGAAAAGGGCCTTGAAGGAATCTCCTGCTTTTCCTTAGATTACTTCAAACTGACCATACTAAATAATGTAGAGCCTTTGTAAGGCTCTAAATGGAAAGGTCTTTCCATCTCGCGGTGGGACTCAGATCATCAGTGTGGAGTAGAGGTTTTCCTCTACTGAGAGTTGACTCAAAGGACGGTGGTCTGGATCCCAGTCCAGGCTCTAAGACTCCTAACTTCTTGTTCAGATCTTGAATTTGGAGCCAGACAGACCCAGGGCTGCTGTCTGGTTAGTGTCCCAGCCTCCGTGCCTCCTATTTCCTTGTCTGTGGGATGAGGTGGGTCCTACCTACCTCACAGAAATGGTCAAGGGAATTAACGAAGGTCAGGACCTTAGCGCTGGGTCTGGCACATGATAGACGCTTAATAAATGCTGTTGCCTTCTACGTCTAACACTTTCTAATTCGGTTTACCTGTCTTTATCCTGTGTGCAATGAAGTGGAAATTGTGGTTGGGGGTGAGATGTAAGAAAACCCTCAGAGAGCACCGTTTGGGAAGAGGAAATAGGACCTCACAGCCCCATTGCAGCCTGGTTTTAAGGGTTAGTCCCAAACAAAAAGTCCCTGAGACTCCACACACAGCCATCTTGGGGGTCTGATGTAGTCAACAGAATCTGAGGGCAGAGTTGAAGAAGGAAATAAGTCAGCACAAGAACAGCACTTGGCACAGCCCAAGTAAAAACTTGGAGGCTAAAAGGAAGGAGCCTTGAGAGGAGGCAAGAAACTCACATAGAAGTGCTAAAATTTATTTGTAAAACTTTACATGGCCAGACACATGGTGCACACTGTGAGATAGGCACTATTATCACCAATTTTTAAATCATTATTATTATTAGGGTTTCAGGTCCAGAGAGTTCCATGATTCATACTCGGTTTGTGGCAAATGATCATCCCATCATAACAGTCTGTTCAAGGCCCTTCTGATATTTCATTGTGTTTTGTTTTCCCCCTTGTCCACACATTCCCCACACTCTTCCTGCCCACCTTGGGCACCCATTCCTTTGTGTTAGTATATATTCCTTGGCTCCATAGTGTAGTGGTTAGCACATCTGCTTTACAGGCAGAAGGTCCTGGATTCGCACCCCAGTTGGAGCCACGGACCATACCTGAGGTGTGCCAGGCCCCTCGAGTGTGCCAGGGGTACTAGACCTCAGGGGCCCAGGCCCTGGGGGCGCCTGGCCCCGGGTGCACACCACAAGCATGTGGGAGGAGATGCCCCGCCTTCAGAGATCCAGTTCTTAAGGGGAAAATGGCAACATCCATAGATCAGGAGTGGAAGTCGGCGGGGGAGGTGGGGGATTAAAGAGGGAGGGAAAAATTCAAAATTGTTTGTGTGCATGTTTACACTTGAATGATATTGGGCAAGGCTCTCATTCTGTTGCTTTTTTTCACTTCATAATATGTTTTTTAAGATCTACCCATGTTGCTACTGGGAAATCTAGCTTATTGCATTGATTGAATGGCTGCAAAATATTCCAAGCTGAGCATCCACTGTTTTATATACTCATTCTACCAGTGGTGGACACTCAGGTTGTTTCCAACTCCCTCTCATCGCAAACAGAACTGTGATGAACATCTTTGTGCGTGATCCCTATGGGACTATGTGAAAATTTCTTTAGATTCTATACCCAAGAGTAGAATTACTAGATCACAGGGCATATAGGTTTTAAATTTCACTAAATTCTGCTAGAATGGCTCCACTAACAACACATGAAGAATGCTCTCTCCTAACATTTCCATCAACGTTTACATTATCTGACTCTGTAATTTTTGCCTACATTTTAGATTGGTAAGGTGGCATCTCATTATTGTTTTAACTTGCATTTCTCTGTTAATGCTGAGATTCAGAATCTCCTCCCATACTTGTCAGGTATTGGGCTTCCCTTTCCGTGAATTGCCTATTCAGATCTTTTGTCCGTCATCTATTGGGGTTCCTTTTTCTTGTTGATTTGCAGGAGTAGCATATAAATTTTAGCTATTAATCCCTTGTTAGCTGTTGATGTTTTGGATATCTTCTCCCAATACCTTGGCCATCTGTTAAGTTTATCTATGGAAATGTCCTCAAACTTTAGCATGCATCAGAATCTCCTGGAAGGCTTGCTAAAAACAAACATTGCTGAACCCCACCCCAAGGTTCTGGCTCAATAGAGCATTTCTAACAAGTATTTGCATTTCTAACAAGTATTCAGGTGATAGTGATGGTCCAGGGACCACATTTTGAGAATCACTGGTCTTGGGTGCTTTCTTTGGAACAAATTTTTTTCTTTTGAACAAATTCTTAATTTTGGTATTTTCAAGTCTATTTATTCTCGTTTTATGGATGAGGGAACTGGAGCTCACGGAGTGAAGTGAATGCCCCAAGCTCACACAGTGAGCTGAGATTTGGACCCCTACCTGGCTAACCCCAGAGCCCAAGCTTCTAACTGCTCTGCTTTTCTGTCTGCCAGTTTTAGGATGGATGTAGCGATTGCAGGCTGAGGCATTTGATTTGGACCTGAGGCTACAGGGAGCCCCAGTAAATTCCCCGAGTGAGGCAGTGGTAAGAGGGAGGAGTCAGTTGGCTAGGGGCGGGGCCAAAGAGCTAGAGGTTCCTCTTAAAGGCCTGAGGGCTTTGCAAGATCAAACTCAGAAACTGCCCACAATCCTAGCCAGGGCACAGTGACAGGGCTGCTGAGAAACAGTTATTACCCTACAGCTCTAGCAATGGAGCAATTTCCCTCACACCCCAAGGAAGTCCCCACCTACCCCGGAACTACCCTGTTACCAAAGCCATGTAACCCCTAGTTACTGAGGTCCAAAGGCCCTGGCTGGGGCAACCCAGACTCTGAGCATGAGAACTCTGTCCACACTTCCTCCTGTTTCATCTAGAGTCCCTACCGATCGCTTCCTATCCTGGCACTGAAAAAGAGGGAAACCCCCTATGGGTGGGACAGCTGATTCCCAAAAGCTTCTAGGGATGGGGTAAGGATGTAACTTCCCTACCAGCTAGATCCCGTGAGAACAGTCTTGCCCCACTGACAAGTGGTGAAATTAATGAAATTGTCTCTAATCCCCCCAACCCCTTACACTATGCCCCTTTCATTTCGAGACACGGCAACCTCCTACTCCCTCCCAGCTTCCAACTGGAGACTCCTAACAGTCCTTTCACAACCGTGTGTTGGGGAGGAGTCCTGGGGCCACTGTCATTCAGTCACCAAGCATTTAGAGAGCACCAATTAGACACTAGAGGAAAATATTATGCCAGACACTCTGTTAGACACTAGAGGAAAATATAAAACAGTCCCTGCCCACTGGGGGCTCCTGGCCTGATGGGGAAGGCAGGTCCCCAAATAATCACAGCAGAAGGTTCTCAGTTGTAAAAATCAGTGAGAAACAGCTCTTTCTGGGGAAGATAGAAAAGGCTTTGCAGAGGAGGTGACTTATGAGCAAGAGTTTGAAGGCCAAGCAAGATTTTTGGCAGGTAGACAAGACAAGAGAGAGCCCTCCAGGAGGGGCCGACCGGTGCAAACTCCAGGGAGCTCGAAGGAACATCACATACTCTAAGACTGGTGACCATTTGCACCAGTGCAGTGTGGTTAGAGGCTCAGGGTCAGACTGAGTGAGTTTTGAATACCAACTCTGACATCTGCTAGTTGAGTAATCTTGGGTAAACCCCTAAATGTCTCTGGATCTTGGTTTTCTCATTTATAAAATGTGGATAATAATAGCATCACCCTCATAGATCTCATAGATTATCGTGAGGCTTAAACAAGATAATCCATGCAAAAGTATAGGTCTAAACGTTCAATAAATGTGACCCTTATTATTGCTGAAGGACCATTGGGTGTGTGAGGTGAGGGCCAAGGTGGAGGAGGGGTGTGCAAATCAGAGGAGAAACCAGAGGAGTGGGCAGATGGAGAAGGCCTTGTAAGGAAAGGCAGGCTAGGAAGAATAGGCAATGGAGAGTGACCCAATGGGCTTGCATTTTCCAGAAGTGAACATAGCTGCCTGGAAAGGAGGGTTAACTGGAGAGCAGAGGAGAGCCTGGGTGCTGGGGAATGGGGCAAGGGGCTGGGACGAAGACCAAACAAGAGATGCTAAGACCTGACTTAGATGGGGAAGAAAGAAGAAGAAAGAGGAGAGGGCAGCTCCAGAGGGGAGGGAGGGGAAGAGGGCTCTCTCCTCGCTCAGAAAACAGCAGCCTCTCACATACTTCGATTAGACTCATTCATTCGTTCATTTATTCCACAACTATTTTTTTTAGCACTTGAACCCCGGGCTCATGGAGCTTATATTCTAAGTTTATGTAACTATTCAATAATGTTACTTGGTGCATCCAGATGCAGTAACCACCCAGTCAGGCCTACGTGATCAGAGATTGTTCAGCCTCACTCGTAATAAGAAAAATCCAAATTCATACTACATCGAAAAACCATTTTTCAATTATTAGACTGGCGAGGTTGGAAAGTTTGTAGGTATGAGGAAACTGGCATGTTCATACATTGTGGGTGGGAGGGTAAGTTGATAAAAATCCTATTTAACAATATCTACCAATATTTTA